GGTAATGGTGATAAAAATAAGTAGGCTTTATTGTGTTTTATAGTTTTTACATCACTTTAAGCTCTGTTCTTCCTTTTGATCCTTAGGACACCCTTGGTATTATTATTCCTATTTTAAGCTGCGATGACAATTTTGGAATTTTAAGTAACATGACCCAGAACATTTGATGAGTATGTCATCTTGAATCCTGTTTTGTTAGTTTTGTTTGTTTGTTTACTACAAAACCTGAAACTTTTCCCATGTAGAATGGGCTTTGGGGACATTTGTTCATATTTATCTTTGCCAGTTCCATTGCCCTGCTGGCTTATCAGTAGTCACTTTTCTCTTCCTATGGCTGTAGCCCATGACTCTCTCTGTAGCCCAGTAATTGTTTTCTCCCCTGTCCTTCCAGGACCTAGAGTGGGTGATGGCCTTTAGCTCTGGATGGGCAGGGAGAGAGGGTACGCTAGCAGAAGCTACAGCTAATTACTACTCCAGTTAAGGGAACTCCAGCCCACATTGGTTCCCTTAACCCTGACCTTAACTGTAAATAGGCCTTTCATTAAACTCTCTTCAATTACCCCTTTGAGTGTGCTTTCCATTTTCCTGCCAAGGCCCCAACTGACACCATTGACCCAGAGCAGACAGGTCCCTGCCTCCCTTCTCTGATTTACAAGGCAAACTTAGGTTGAATGACATTTAGATCGGATATTAAAGAGAGGCTGCCCCATTCTTTGGTGGGAGCAATTACCAAGACACAACCCAATTCATTTTGTTGGGAACAGTTGCATAGGAAGGATAACTTCCCAAATTCAAGTCCATATAGAACCTCGGGGAGTTCTCTGACTTTGGGATTATTGGGACGAATGCATTCTCTTGATACTCAGCCAAATTTGATTTATTAATCTATTTTATTTGTGTTGAAATGGAGCCTCTATTTCTTGGTAACATAAGTTTCAAAGACAGACTCCACCATCTGGGTATATGTATGTATATGAGTGTGCGTGTCTGATGTTTGCATCTGTGTATCACCCCCCCCAACCACACACACACACAAAGCTCGTGGTGTGAATATGGCAAAGTTTATTCTTGAAACTATCTATTTAAACTGAATGAATCCTAAAAGCATAAGTGGTAGCCCATCAATTTCCTAGCAATGTTCTTTTATAACCACTGGATTTTACATAGAATTTAATTTCCTAACTTTTTGAGGTGTTCCTAAATTTCCTCCCATCTGAGCCTTCTAAGCATACAGGCCATGATGGCTGGAATGCTCTTTTATGCTTTCTATTTTTTTTAGTACAAACATAGTGGCTTTTCTCTATAAGTTATTAACATAGTGCAATACAATGATATCACTCAGACATATGTGTAGGAAACATATATCACTCAAGGATTTTTAAAGACCTTTTAACAGGGAATTCAGGGCTTTCTAAAGTATTAAAAAGGCTGGAAGTGTGGACAGTAGCTGTATATCTAGGAATGCCCCAGAGCATCACAAGAATCACACCTCTTCCCCCACACCCCAGAGCTGCTATTACTGTCCAATCAAAGAGTGAGGAATTTGAGGCTAGCTACTGAAACAACTGAGTTCAAGAGCATGTCTCAGTGGCTGCAGTCCAAGGAAGCTCCCATTGCTGTCACCACCTTGACCTCCAGAAATGTGGCAGTTGAGCAAAAGGACTCTGAGTCTGCTCAATGCTTTAATGATCTTGATGGTCAAGCCTAGAGACAAGTTGCTGGATTGATACCAGAGGAGAAAGTGCCCACGTCTCAGCCCTGGTGATGACCTCTGTTTTACTCCCCTCTTAAAATTTCTTGTGAACACATTTGATTTGCAAGCCCTACTTTACGTCTTGAACCTTTGCCACAAGGGAATCTGGAAAGAGTGGTTTTTCATTGAGCTTTCAGCAGCACAGGGGAAGTATGGTGGTTGAAAGGAGGTGGGACCGGATGTCATATGCTGATCAACTCTACCTGTCCCAGCAATAGAGAGAAAACTGAGCTTTGGAGGCAGATGGACCTAGGTTTCCTATTTATTATCTGTGTTTCCTTAGTGAAATTACAGATCTAGTCTTAGCACCCATTTCCTCTTTTCACAAATAGTACAATCGAGTTATATGTAACTCTGAATTATTGGGAAGACCAAATGTGATAGAGTTCTCAAACTGGATTCCTGGTTACCCTGGGTGCCAGAGCAGTCCTAAGGGCATCTCAGGTTATCGTAAATATTCAAAGAAAGCACAGTGCTACTTGTCATCTGTTGGACTCCAAAGTACTAGCCTGAGGTAGGTCACAGTCTCAACGTTTTGCTACATTGACCACGTCCTATCTCTTTGAAAATGCATTCTCAGCAGTTCCTCTGTTGTCAAGCTTGTAATGCCCCAAAACTGATGTCAGCATTGCGGTGTCCAGTAGGATTCTAAGGTTTGGCAAAGGGTACAATGCCCAGTAGGCACACAAACCCCATGAGTCAGTATTATGGGACAACAAACTCATTTGTTGAAGCCCCAACCTCTTGTACCTCACAATGTGACTGTGTTTGGAAATAACATCTTTAACGAAGTGATTAAGTTTAAAAAGAGGTCAACAGAATAGATCCTGACCCAATATGACCAGTGTCCTTATAGGAGGAGAAAACTGGGGCACAGAGAGGGACAGGAGGGATGCAGGTGCACAGAGGGAAGGCCATAGAAGGGGACCCAGCAAGAAGGTAACCATCCATAAGCCGAGGAGGGCGGCCCCTTGGGAGAAACTGCACTTGCAGACATCTTGATCTCAGCCACAAAACTTTCATCTTATCACAACCTAGAAGAGAAAGGATCAACCACAAAATGAGAGATGAAATGAAGAAGCCAGTCGTGAAGGTGGGAGAAGTGAGAGGAGAAGGAGACCCTGAAGAGATCAGTGGAAGCTCGGGCCGTCATCAGAATGCCACTTTGCCTCAGAGGCAGACGACCACTGTCTTAGTGCAGGCTTTGCCATTCAGCAACTGTGGATCCCAAAGCAAGTCATCTCCATCCTTACTGGATGATGCGATGCATTTTTCTGCCTCTCTAGGAGATGAAGCTGCACGTTCCAGCTTGGGGTGCAGCCTCCATGCGTGGCCTCTGCTCCAAATTCCTGCTAGGCATGCCTCAGCTCCTTCCCGCAGAGAAGTCCTCAGTGAAGAGGACAAAACACGTCCCTTCTCCAACCAGAATAATCAGGGGAGACAGGGAAGGGAGCATAGGCCTTTGGCTGTTTCCATGTAACTGTAACAAACTCCCTTTAGTAGTATCTTACCTTCATTAAGCTTCTAAATAGACTGCCCATGCACATGTTGCATGTGGTTATATATGTGTGTGGGGGGGGTGTGGGTGTGCGTTGTGCAAATACATGAAATACATATATCGATCTATCAAAGTGGGACGTTGGTAAAATTCCCAATGCGGGCTCTCAACAGAGAGGCTGGACACACGTGGTTTGGACTGTGCTTCAAAGCATTGTTACCTTTCACTGTTTGTTTACCCTTGCTGGCGCATACCCCATGTACCAGGTACAAGTCCAGATACTTTACCCACAGTAGCTTTTCTAAAAATCACACCGACCTCCAGAGGTTGCCGCTCTTTATCACATTGTCTTCAGATGAGAAAAACGGGTGTGCAGAAAGGTCAGCAACTTCTTCCAAGGCACCCGGCCAGTGAGGGGTGGAGGACCCAGGTTAGGAGTACGAGGACTCTGATGGCAGAACCCTAACATAGTTTACCGCGTCTATGTAGTGAAGCCTCGATCAGCCCCTTCCTTTCCTTCTCCTCCCTCCCACAAGGCCTGATGATTCCCATGCGAAAGGGCCCCACATTTATTCTTGTGCAGAGTCCTGCGGGGGAGGGGGAGGCCCTGTGCCTCAAGCAGGGAGATGAATTAGGAGACCGTTTGCAAAACCCAGGCCACAGACACATTTAGGACCTGGCAGAAGGAATGTACCTGGTTTTCCCCCCAGATAACTGAAAGCCTCAGAACGTCATTCTTCCTTGGAATCTTCCTCTCTCTCTCTTAATATTTCTGCTGGTGCTGCTCATTCCCGGCAGTGATTTCACGGACATTTTGGAATCAGCTGGGAACGTTCTCCTGGGCCCTTCTCAGCTCCGTAGCCTTCTACAGTAACTCCCCGTTTTTCAGCAGATTTTCATTTTCTTCTTTTGCAGCTCCTCTCCCTCACCAGTTATTACTTGACCTTTCATCTTCTGAAGCCTGACTAGCATACAGGCAGCTTTCTTGGAATTTTTAGCTGACAGATGTGATCTAAAGTTCCCTGCAGTTGCCTGAAAATAAAGGGATCAGAACACAAAATCTTCCCTGGTCTTTAAAGGAAGGATGATAAAATAAGTGTTGGGGGAGGTGGTAATGAGAAGACCATACCCACTTCTGGTTTCCATCTGCACACACTCACAGTGCCTCTCGAGGAGAACTCCTAGTGGCTGTGGAATTTTGTATCCAAGTATGTTTTTTAATTTGAGACTCCATGTGGGCCAAGTTGCACGTGGCCAGAATTTCTGCAAGAGAGGATCAGAACATTCTGTTTTGCCATGTCATTGTTTGCAAAGGAAGGAGGGTGATTATTTTATGAATTTTTGAAATAGTAGAAAGAGAACTAACTGGCCTTGTCAGAAACCTGAGTTTGGAATTTTATCCCAGGGCTCAGGGGATATGTGGGGTAATCATCCACACATCATGAGGGTTTTCATAAAATAATCAGGACACACAAAGTTCTTTTGGTGTCCTTGCACAGCATTTCGTTGAAACTACCTTCGTCAAGGTTACCCATGATGCTCGTGATGTGAATTCCAGTGGCACCTTGATGCATTCGCCCTCCTCCCCCCCCCCCCCCCCCCCCCCCCGTTACCAGGATTTAACACAGCTGATCCTCTGCCTTTTCTACCCTTCCAGTTTGTCTGTGTCTCGTTCCTGGTCTGATGGAAATGGTGATCTTATTCTTAGACTCAGTTCGCTGACTCTTCTTTCTCTACGCTCCCTTCCAGGTGATCTCACTTGACAGTTCCGGTAGAATGTTCCGCAGACATCTCAGACTTCGCAGGCACGCGCCAGGTATTTGTTGATTACTGACCGTGCGTTTGCTCTCTTATGTTCTCCTGTCCTGCGAGGACTGGAGGCCTGCAAGTGACAACTCCCAGACTCTGAAGCCTCCAATGCAATGAGGAAGGGAAAGCAATGAAAAACACTTGCACTCCTGGCAGCACCTCTGGCCATGGCCACCTTGATGTCTTCCGCTTAGTGGCAGCTGCCATGATCCCAACAGTTTCTGTAAGGATGGTTTACACACCATCAATAGTAGAGGTTGCTGTAGCATTTAGGAGAGTAATGAGGGCCCTTGCGAGGCATCAGAAGCTGGTGGTTCCCTCACAGTTAGTGGGTGAGTGGCTGGTGAGTTCCCACCCGCTGGGGGCAACAGCTTCCCCATCTCTATGCACTATCCCATTCCCTTTTGCTCTCCAGTCCCTTCAGGACCATTAGCACAATCAACTTACCCCATGGTCATGGTAGGCACAGTACCTTGAGCGCACAACAGTTTTAGGGGTCCTGGAGATATTTTAATTATTATCTTTTAATCAGAAAGAAAAAAATGAATGGAGGAAAGAGCCCACAAAAAGCAAAAGCACCTCATTATAATGCAACCATTTTCCAGCAACAAATTCCTCTTTGGGTGAAAAGTTAGTAGTTTCTGCTTTCCTCATGTGGACACTGCTAAGTCAGTTCTCCAGATAGTACTCGTGATTCCTGCCCCTGAAGGCCCTGTTCTCCCCATTCTTCTCACTCTCTCTGGGAAGGGTACTATCATTCACCATAAACTCAGAGACCCAGCCATGATCCTTGAGTCCCCACATCTAAAACATCAGCACATCCTTCTGTCTGTTCAACAGACACATATCTCAACTCTGCCCATTGGTCTCCACTTCCACTGGTACCAGCTAGTCCAATTCACCTGTCAGGGCTTTCTTCTTGGCCTTAAAATGATACAAGACCATGTTAGCATGCCCCCCAAGGCCCTGTGTTGTCTGGACCCTGCCTCCTCCCCTAGTCTGCTTCTCTTCCCTCAGTCCTTGCTTATAGGCTCAGTATAGGAGATGAGTTGCATTAATGGCCCCAGATTTTCATGCCTCCCTGATCCCATGTCCTTTGGTAGCACCTTCCCACACAGACCATGAGCTCCTGTCCTTCACATCTTTATGCAGGTGTTACCTCCAAGGCAATGACCTAAAACTGCCCCACCTCTCCCATACTTCCTATTATACTGTCGGAGATATTGCAGACCTGGTTTCAAGGGTCAGCTCCATTATTCTGGAGCTCTGTGACCTCCTGATCTCTGATATCTATTTTTCTAATATGTAAAAAAGGAATAACTACTACCTTATGGGGCATCATGAGAATTTAGCGGAACAAAAAGACATAATGCTGCTCCATGACAGGTCCTTAGCAATAGTCATGCTCCTTTATGAAAATGTTCACCAGCAATATTTTAGAATTAACTTTCATTTTTGATTTAGGAATCTACCCACTTACCAAGCAGAGTCAGCAAGACAGAAACAACAGCTTCAAGGAATAAAAACATCTTCATTCCTCTACCTTAGCAAGTGTTTTATAATTGCAGTGAGCACCGAGAATCTTGGGAGGCCACTACACCCAAATGTCTTGGTAATAAATATAGGTCTGTGCCTGTGTCTGTAGTATACCAGGGACCCAGGAGACAAATAAGGTTGAATTCCTCACATGAGTGTGTTTTACGAGTGTTTTCCTGAGGATCATAGTAGAGGCATTTATGGCCACAGAAAAAGAGACTTTTCAGGAGTCATTTCATGGGGCGAGAGACACCAAAGTGGTTATAAAAAGTAAGGCACCTCTGCACAGTACATCTTTTGGAAAGCAAGGCTGCTGAGGACTTGGCATCACTGCCCCTCTGCTTCTCCAGGTCATCTTCCCTTCCCTTTGTCCCCAAGGAGCTGTGAGATCCAAAAAAACAGGTGAGGCTGATTGCAACTGCTTCTGCTACCAAAAGATTCTACTCCTTAAAACCAAAAAATATAAAAAGGGATAAAAACTGCCTACACAGGATTTTCTTCCCACCCCCTGGACAGCCCTGTCATTTATAACACACAGGGCTCAGCCCTTGGCTGTCATTAGCACTGAGAAAACTGTTGAACTCTTTCCCTTGTTTTGTATTTCTCAATATTAGAGCTGCCACTCGGATTTATGTGCTCCAACAGAAAGAATGGACAAAGAAGTCCATGCTTCTGAAGGAACAGAAGCATGGACTTCTGTTCTAAAGGAGAAATAAAAGCAAAGAGCAGATTTGGGTTTAAGGAAAGGCCCCCTCCCACATCCCTGGAATGAGTATGGTTCCCTCCAAGGCAGAAATGCCAAGTCCATTCTCTTGCTAACAGTTGAGTTTTCTTTAACATCCCCATGTTTACATAGCATACTTTCTTTTAGCAATTGGTATGAGGGGGATTTCTCTTATATAATAAAATTAGTGGGTTCCAGTATCTGTCACTGTCATTATCTACCTGTCATCCCAAAAATGAGGAGAAAGGGAACATTCAAGAAAGTCAGGGAAGAACACTATTCCTCAAGATTTATTTTCTGGAGCATTAGACGCATAATAAATTGATGAGTGTTCCGAGAAAAAAGATCTTGTGGTCAAGTGAGGTTGGGAAATGCTTCTTTAGTTAAGGCTAAATGAATCTCTTTTCTGTGGAACTTCTTAAAAACCCTTTATTAATTTGTATTGTGAGCCTCCAAGACTAGGATAGGGCATGTAAAAAATTTGGTAAGAACACTATTCATATCTTACGGGAATAAATTAGAAAAACAGAGTAAAAAAAATAAATTTCCCGTTTTCAAGTCAGTCATTGCCTAATGGGGACACAGTCCCATAAACAGACTGTTGAAACCAACTAATTAAAGCATAACAATTAAGATAAATACATGGAGGACTGTGGAAGCTCAGTAGGAGGAAACTAAGCAAGTATGGGGAGCCAGTGCTTCCTGGAGGAGGTGATCCCAGAGGTGGGCTTTCACAATGAGTGTTGTCCCAATTCCACCAACATCAGCCCATGATTTCTGGTCATCTACACAGAATAAACAATCCTTTATCTTCAGTAAAGCAAATAGCTTTTCTATGTTAGTATTTATGTGCATTTGCCTTTTGTTGTCTTTGGAAACCAGATAGATCTATATCCAAACCTCAATTCTCCATCTGTGATCTTGAGGAACTACCTTAACCTCATCTGTTTTTCAGAATTATCATAAGAATTAGAGACCGTATAACTAAAACACTAACAAAGTGCCTGAAATGTGACAGATTCAACCATTTAGACTATTTTTACTTTTATTAGGTCTTAAGATTATAATGGATTTACAGATACCTAATATGCATTCACTCGGTGTATACTAATCCCATCCTAGAATGTTTACATTATAGCTTCTGTTTGAGACTCTGCTTAAATTTAATTTTGTTTAATAAGCACTCAAACTCTGAAAGACTATAGTGCTGCATCTGGGATATATACAAAATGGATTAACCACACATCTTATCCTGGATCAAAAGTTTCCAGTTCATTACTCAGGGTGGGGGAAAAGTAAGAGTATAGTAATAGGCACAATAGATGTGGGAGTCAACAGGTGCTAAATAAGAGACCCAGATAAGAACCTGTGGGAGAGAAGATAACTTTCCTCTGGCAGATGAGGGAAGGCTTCCTTAAGGAAGTGACATTCAAGCAGGGCTTTAATGTATGAGTCATATATGGACATAAGAGATTAACAAGGGAAGAAATCCAGGAGAAGAAGAGAGAAGAGAGAAGAAGCAAAGTAACTAACTTAAGTAGCTACTGTGGGTGATACACGGAATGTGAACCCAGAAATGTAAACTAATAACAGATTATGGAGGACCAGACTTCATTTTTGCCAATGTGTCACATTGGACAACCAACATTGTTTAAATAAATAACTGAGTTGACAAGAAGGGAAATCTGTAAGAACCCTAAAACTGCAAAATTCACCAGAAAGCTCATAGCTGACCCTGTTTCTAACAAAGGTCTTGACTTTGATGTGCTTAAGCAAACAATGAATGAGGCATTAGCCCTGGAGCACTGTGGAAAGATGGTTGTATACCTGATATCCACTACAAAGTAAGAGCCTCCCAAGGACTATGGAAATAAAGTATAGGGCTTAAAGGAATCTATCTACTGTGAGAGGAATTCACAAATAAGATCTGTGCATCATCCTGAACATAAAACAAAATCATCATCTCTGGTGATTTCTTACCAAATACCCGCCATGCTTGAGTTTGGAGGTTAAATAGATACTCCAGGAGAGATCTGGAAAATTACAAGCTGAGAAATTAACAGAAAAGGGATTCCTGACAGCTATTATTTTGGTAGTTCTGGGGAGAGCAAGCACAAAACCATTCTGGCAGAACAAGTTTACAAAATATTTTTCCAAGCTGAAGCCCCACTGAAGATTAGCTCACAAGGAAAAATTACATAATTCATGGAGTAATCCATAGGGAGAGGTAGTAGACCAATAAACAACAGAAGTAGACCTTCAAGAACTTCAGATAATAGGAACTATGAAATAAGTATATTTAAGATGATTAAAAACATTAAAAAAAAGAAACTGCAGATATGGAGAAGAGTAAGACATCGTTGAAAATGTATCTGAGAAAGAATTTGTAAGTTAAAAATATAGTTAACTGATATTAAAATCCACATGTAGTATAAATAGTAGCCTAGAATAAGCTGAAGAAAAATTAGTGAATTGGAAGATAGACCCAAAGAAATGATTAAGGACATCATATGGAGAGAGATACACTGAAGAAATTTAATAAGAGTCATGGCAGATGGAATGCAAACTAATAACAGAAACAGAAATGGCAAGCAGAGGTTATAGTTGGAAACTTATAGTTACAATTGTTTGGTGTTTCCTCCTAATTTCACTCACCTCTACCACCACAATCCAACTCACTCTCATCCTTCACCAGGATTATTTCAATAGCCTCCTGCCCGACCTTCCTGCTGCTGCCTGTGCCTGGTCTGCTGTCAACATCTGAACCTGAAAAAGTAGAAGCTGGATCAGACCATCTCAATCCTCTGCTTAAAACCTTCCCCTGTCTTCCAGTCCCATTAATGGTGAAAGTACGTACAAGGACCGTACAACCCGGTTTCACATGCCCTGTTCACTGTTTGAACATGTCCCCCTTTGACCCTCTGCTCTGTCTGCTCTGCTCCAGCTGGACCTTTGTCCAAGCTCCTCTTCAAAGGCTTTGGTCAACTGCCCCTTCTGCCCCCAGAACTCTTGACCTTGCCATCTCCTCTGGTTGGATGCTCTTCCCATAGATATCTGCCTAGGTCCCTCCTTCCCCTCCCTTGGATCTTTGCATAGATATCACCTTGTATGTGAGGCCTAGCTTAATAATTCCATTTAAAATCACAAAGTCCCCTCCCTACCATTCCTCATTCCCATTTCTTACTCATTTTTCTCCACAACACTGATCTCTTACAAAATGTATTTTACGTATTGATTCATTTCTTTCTGTCCCCCATCTTCTACTACCCAATCCAAGAATATAAACTTTGTGATTGATAATATCAACACTGATGAAAATTGGCTAATGCAGTAATTGCAGAAAAATTCATAACATTAAATGCTATGTTATAAAATCAGCCTGAATATTAGAATGCTAAACTTAAACCTAACAAATCAGAAAATTAAAAAAATTTTAAAACCCAAAGGTAGAAATGAGCCATGTAAAAACAAAAAGTTAAATGCATAGAAAACAAAGCTATATTATAGAGGATTGTTAAAACTGTTACTCAATTTTAAAACATGAATTTAAGAGAAAAACCTCCAGAGAAGCTGTTTATGAAAGAAAAGATGCAGGCAATGTTCATAACAGTCTTTAAGAGTTAAGAAATGACCTGAACTACGAAAGTAAGAGAGACATAAAAAATATTAAAGCAATTCCAGAAAACTTTACATCAAAGAATTTGAAAACTTAGAAGAAATGGATGATTTCCTACATGAGTATAACGTACTGCAACTGGCCCAAGAAGAAATAAAAACAAAAACAAAAAACCTGAACAAATTGGTAGAAGGAGATAGGATGAATTGTAGCACATACATGGAGAAGGACAGGAATGTTAGCTATTCATTTGGAAAGAAAAAATCACAAGTGTATCTCTCTCATGCCACATGCAAACATTGATTTCAGCTGGATATATAAAAGATAACATTTATATGCATTTTAAAACCTGAGAAATGCCATGAATTGTTTCTAGATATATTTCATATATAGCAGAAGTATAGAAAACATATGTGGAAACCATGTACATCAAAATCAGGACTCTAGTTCCTTTGAAGGGCTGTAAGGGGGCAGGGTCTAAGTGCCTAGATCTAACTTTCAGTGTCAATTTTTAAAATATTTGATGCAATTATAGGAAAATGTTAAGATTTTGCAAGGCTCAGTTGTAGATACATGGATGATTATTAGATTATTTATTACCATTTTTAGGATCTTGAAATATATCACTATTTAGAATAGAAGCCTATGCCAAAAAACCCTGACTTTTTTGGTAAGCAGTGTGTCACTTTTGAAGGTCTTTAACAGGAAATCTGACCATTTAGAGCCTCACCATGCCATCACAGAAAGCTAGGTGTTCTCTTCCTTATCACAGAATGGATCTCAATACCCCTTGATTCAAATAAAAATCCAGAATGAACAGGTACAGACAAGGTTGGTCTCGCTAAGCCAGACATGGAACAAAGGTGCTTTATTGGAGAGAATAATATTAAACTGTTTATTTTCATTGTATATCAAGGCACCTAAATACAACCATACAACATTGTGAAATCTTTGGAAAATAACCAAATTAAACTGGTGGCGTTTGAGGCTGGGAGAGTGATCTTCATGAAAAGGTTTTGAGCCTGCACCATGCCTTTGTGATTTGTTGGAATCAAGCAGAAGCAAAAGCAAAATGTGTTTTTTACCAAGTGCAATTTACAAAAAAGATTGGGCATAGAAAGAGTCATTTAAAAACTATGTGTATTTATATCTCCGCTTGCCACAACTTATAAAAAAATCCTCTGTAGGACTCCATTATTGATGTTTTATGTTTTTCAATTTCTCTGTGCAATATGTAATTATTTCAACCTCTGCCCCTTTG